GCCTTGAAAAGCAACGTTAGTTCGGTTTGAAAATTGCAGTGTTTGCAATGGTAAGAATCAAGGGGGTTTTCACAGTTAAAAGATTCCAAAGGCGACTGATGGCGCCGAACGTGGTTTATCATCAGAAAAAACGATGTTGTAACGTATGGGCAAATTTTACAAGCGTGGACATTGACCAGAGATGGTTTCTTGGGGGCCGTGAAGGATTCGGAAAATTGCAAAGTCACCATTTCGACTGGTCTGAAATTCATGCCGTGTTGTTACGTTAAAAGTATATTATAAAAACGAATTTTGTGTTACGTACCTGTAAATTAAATTAAAAACAATTCAAAATGTCTTCGACATAACCTCAAAATGTTGGTGCTTTTTATTTTAGTTGTTTTATGTTGGTAGTAAATTCGTTAAAACATAGATCCAGGGTATGCAACACGTTATACACGTTTGTTAGTTATTACATTGATTAAATACATATAGATAGACCCATGCTATTGTTTGGAGCGAACAGGCCAACGGCCGGCGAACAAGAGATGGCGCACCAACAGTCGGCCGTCAAACGCCGGCGAAAAGCTTGGACACCAATCGCGCGCGTAGATAACCCAAATCGCAGCAACAATACATTTAATAAAGCTACCACTCTACAGAGGGCGACGAAAACAATGTGTAAAAATCTCATAGTAACCATTTATATAATTTGCAACGTTGCCAGATGAGCCTAGCACAACTTTGCCGTTATTTCTAGTCGATTAGATTTTATTTCGTTTAAAAGTTTCTGGTGAATAAATGGAATTATTATAATGAATAAACAATACAAACAAATTATTACTTGTTATTTTAAATACTTGTTAGTGTTGATGAAAACATAAATGGTAATTAAAGTTATTCTAAATACGGTCCGGTCCGGTAGCTCAAATTTTACAGTACGAGTGATATGTTTCAGGACGAGTAGGTAGCCGAGTCTTTAATTTCGAAACGAGTACTGCGAAAAGAGTTACCGGACGTATGTTGTTATGTATTTTATTTCATACTGTCAACATACTTTTTTATTCGATAATATTATTATTATTTTGAGAAAAAATCCAAATCGAGTCACTTTTTCTGAAATCGTTAGCAACCGCTCTTTGGTAAATGTTTTAATTTGTTTATTCGTGCAAATCAGCATCATATGTTTAAACACATAGTACTTATAACACTTTACAGGACTTATTGTTTTGTATAATCCGACTCGATGGACGAATGTTTTGTGCAATCCGTCTCGAAGGACCAATGTTTGTGCAACTCGGCTCGTCCTACCAGTATTTTTTGTAATCTGGTTGATACGACAATGTGATACCGAATTGTACTTTGATATTGCTCCAAGGACCTTTGTTTTCTTGCGTGCGAGATAATAGACAGCGTTCGGTTTCGATGTTTAATACAGGACGATTACAGAAGTACTAAATTTACATTTGTATTTACAATAACAGGTAAAGCAAAAGAGACCCAAAAGGGTCAGTGGCCGCTTCCGGAAATGGAACACTTGTCCTTTTTGGCTCAATTTTATCGGACTTGTCCGTTTTTTTTATTTTACCGGAATCGTTCGATCCAGTAAAACGTCAAACTTGACATAGTATGAAGTAAAATAAATAAATTTTATTCAATTTTGACATGTAAACAAACGTTTATTTTGCCGTCAGTAGGCCACTAAAGCTTTGGTTTATCCGGTAGCACCATAAAATTTTTAAACCGCTAGCGAAATAAAATTTTTATTTTGCTGTTTTAAAACCATGGTTACCATTTCTGTAATTTCTCCAATGCCTTGCTGCTCTTTCCATCTAAGGAACTTTTGATACACTTTCTGATTTGCTCTTTTTTGGGAGCAAGTTTTGCCGTTGGAATCTTGCATGAATTTGCAATTTTTCGATAATTTTAGTTTGTTTAAAATAAACAAACACCGTCGCCAGAGTCACATACTACACACACACACCTGATATTGTAACCTAAATTCTACGCATATAAAACTTTTATTTGGTCGCTGTCAATTCTGACGTTTCTCGAATGTGAACTTTGAATCACCAATTTTTTCACAATTTGGGACTTGGGGTTGTCAAAATTGAATAAAAGTTTGTATTACACTCGCGATTAAAATGAATGTGTAACTCGTGGTCTTAAGGCGCTCGCCTTAAACTGGCCGCTCATTAAACATTCACTTTAACCGCTTGTATAATAAATAACTATTATGATGTAAATACAATTAAGTATATCGATAATTCGCTACTGAAAATTTATTGAAATATAATTTGTGTTAAAAAAAGATTTTTGTGGTTTTATGGTTTATTAACATAATTTACTTATTTGAAATTAAATATTTTTAATACATAGCACCAGTTCTTGATATTCTTTATTTTTATTCCAAGTAATAATTGTGTTTCCTTTAGTTTTAATCAAGAAAATTTTTCGGTTATTATCTAACATACTTTTGTACATTAAGAAACTCCATTCCACGTCACAGGACGTTACAGGACAATATTTAAATAAATAAAGAAGTCGTTTTATGTGTTTTAAAATTCACTCTGATTTCCGGACTTTAGACTTTTTGGTGTTTCACTTCGGCACAAGAACTAGTCGTATCTCAAAGAAAACAAACAGTGGAATATACCGTATTGTACCTATATTTCATAGTAAAAATGTCTAAATTTTTTTAGGAAGAGACAGACTGTTCTAGGAAACTTTACTAAATCTTTTCATTTACGAGCTATTGAAAGTCCGCCGGTCTCACTGATACTTCTTACTTGGCTCCTACGAATGAAGCGAAAAATGCACAGATTGAAAATATAGTAAATGGGGTAGTATGTATGCGTGATATGTCGTTAGACATTAGGTATTTTGCAAATAAAATTTATTTCATTGAAAACAGAAACAATAAAAAACATATCTGTACAAGTTTGGAATCGATATGGCCAGTTGTTTAGAATAAGCAAATATGCTTTTGTTCGTATTTACAATTATTACGAAACAGGTTATCAAATAATCTATTTTCACATGGCGAGACTTTCAAGCGGCCGAAGAATTAAAAACCATAAATTTTCATTGAAGAAACAAACTCTTCCAAGAAAATTACCAAATCTTTTAATTTACGCACTATTGGACGAGCACTCCTTAAAACGGTCAGTATACCTAATCGCATTATTCCATTGATACCTACCTACCGAAAACGTTGCCAGATGAGCCTAACACAAATTTGCGGATATTTCTCGTCAACCAGATATTATTTCATTTAGAAGTTTCTGGTAAATAAATGGGATTATTGTAATGAACACATAAAACAAATAAATTGTGATTATTATTTGTTGTTTTAACCCATTAGACGCTTATAGGCTTATAAGCATACTTTTCTTGAAAAATCGGTAATAAATTCAGTGAAACATCTTTGTGCCTTAATTCTTATTGGTAAACTGGGATTTTGAATAGAGGTCGCAGGAAAATTTTGTATGGTTTTATGGTTTATTTACATAATTTTCTTATTTACAATGAATGTTTTTGATATATAATACAAGTTCTTGATATTATTTATTTTAATTACATTTAATAAACCATAAAACCACAAAAATCTTTTTTTAACACAAATTATATTTCAATAAATTTTCAGTAGCGAATTATTATCGATACACTTATTAATTGTATTTACATCATAAAATTTATTTATTTTACTTCATACTATGTCAAGTTTGACGTTTTACTGGATCGAACTATTCCGGTAAAATAAAAAAAACGGACAAGTCCGATACAATTGAGCCAAAAACACGGAGGTAGAAGAGACACTCTTCTACCTCCGTGGCCAAAAAGGACAAGTGTTCCATTTCCGGAAGCGGCCACTGACCCTTTTGGGTCTCTTTTGCTTTACCTGTTATTGTAAATACAAATGTAAATTTAGTACTTCTGTAACCGTCCTGTATTAAACATCGAAACCGAACGCTGTCTATTATCTCGCACGCAAGAAAACAAAGGTCCTTGGAGCAATATCAAAGTACAATTCGGTATCACATTGTCGTATCAACCAGATTACAAAAAATACTGGTAGGACGAGCCGAGTTGCACAAACATTGGTCCTTCGAGACGGATTGCACAAAACATTCGTCCATCGAGTCGGATTATACAAAACAATAAGTCCTGTAAAGTGTTATAAGTACTATGTGTTTAAACGTATGATGCTGATTTGCACGAATAAACAAATTAAAACATTTACCAAAAAGCGGTTGCTAACGATGTCAGAAAAAGTGACTCGATTTGGATTTTTTCTCAAAATAATAATAATTTTATCGAATAAAAAAGTATGTTGACAGTATGAAATAAAATACATAACAACATACGTCCGGTAACTCTTTTCGCAGTACTCGTTTCGAAATTAAAGACTCGGCTACCTACTCGTCCTGAAACATATCACTCGTACTGTAAAATTTGAGCTACCGGACCGGACCGTATTTAGAATAACTTTAATTACCATTTATGTTTTCATCAACACTAACAAGTATTTAAAATAACAAGTAATAATTTGTTTGTATTGTTTATTCATTATAATAATTCCATTTATTCACCAGAAACTTTTAAACGAAATAAAATCTAATCGACTAGAAATAACGGCAAAGTTGTGCTAGGCTCATCTGGCAACGTTGCAAATTATATAAATGGTTACTATGAGATTTTTACACATTGTTTTCGTCGCCCTCTGTCGAGTGGTAGCTTTATTAAATGTATTGTTGCTGCGATTTGGGTTATCTACGCGCGCGATTGGTGTCCAAGCTTTTCGCCGGCGTTTGACGGCCGACTGTTGGTGCGCCATCTCTTGTTCGCCGGCCGTTGGCCTGTTCGCTCCAAACAATAGCATGGGTCTATCTATATGTATTTAATCAATGGTTATTATTTGTAAAAGAAACTAATGATGATCCAGTGTTAAATAAAATCATTAAATTTTGTAAAAATAGCTGGTCAGATAAAAAATATAATTGTCAGGAAGAACTGAAACATTTTCTTAATTTAAAAAATCATATTTATTTGGAAAATCAGTCATTATATTATGAAAATCTTGTTCGCTTTTTAATAATAAATATATTTTTTATTCACAGTGTCAAAAGTACATTTTTCGCATTCGAGTGGCACCTTCTTATGTGGTCGTTTAAATTCAAACAACTCTTACTTTTGTGTGGACAATATCTGCATTCGTACCAATTTCACGTCCTGATCATCTAGATGCCGTGCGTTAATATGATCTTTCAAACTTCTCATATCTTTGCATTTGTAATGACACTCACTGCAGCGGTGCCACTTGATTTCATTCTCGTCCGAATGCCGCCTATTTATATGTTTCTTTAAAGACTGAGGGTATTTGGTTTTGTATTGGCACTTTTCACAATCAAACCATTTGATGTCATATTGTTCAGAATGCAGCGATTTCACGTGCTTCGCTAGGGTCGAAGCCTCTCTAGTCTTGTATGGACACTGTTGACATTCATACCACTTGCCGTCCTTTTCGTCCAAATGACAAACGTTCACGTGTCTCATCAAGGACTTGTTGTATTTACATCTAAATGAGCACTGTTCGCATTCGTACCACTTCGCGTCTTGGTCGGCCAGATGCCGAGCGTTAATGTGTCTATTCAAATCTCCTTTGCGTTTGTACTTGTACGGACACTTACTGCAGTAGTGCCACTCTATTTCGTCCTCGTCCAAATGGCGCGCATTCACGTGTTTATTTAAAGCGTTGCGGTATTCGCTTTTGTATTGGCATTTTTCACAATTGTACCATTTAATGCCCCCGTGTCCGTTGGAATGTCGCACTTTCACGTGTTTCTGGAAAACCCTCTTGTTTCTTGTTTTAACCGGACACTCGTTGCACTCATACCACGTGATACTTTTTCCATTCGAGTGGTGGTTTATCAGGTGACGCCTTAAGTTCGAACGATATCTAGTCTTGTACGGGCACTGTTCGCATTCATACCAGTCGCCATCCTCTTCGATCAAATGACAACGGTTCATGTGTCGAGACAAAGATGAGTTGTGTTTACATCTAAATGAGCACTGTATGCATTTGTACCATTTGCCGCCAAGGTCGTCTACATGTCGTGCGTTAATGTGCTTTTTCAAACCGGCTTTTTCGTTACATTGTTGACACTTGTTCATGTGACATAACCATTTGAGCGAAAAATGCGTCTCAAAACCGCACTTTTCGCAAACGTACTTTTGATTATTGTATTGTAGAATTAAATCGTCGTTGTCGTGTTTAATTCCATGGTGTTCTTTAATGTGTTGCTTGAAAAGCAGCGTTAGTTCGGTTTGAAAATTGCAGTGTTTGCAATGGTAAGAATCAAGGGGGTTTGCACAGTTAGAAGGTAGCAAAGGCGACTGATGACGGCGAACGTGGTTCATCATCAGAAAAAACGACGTTGTAACGAATGGGCAAATTTTACAGCTGCAGACTTTTATCAGGGAAGAATTCTTTTTTGCCGTGTACGTTATAGAATGTTTCAAAGTTTCCGTTTCAACTAGTCTGAAATTCATGGAGTATTGTTACGTTAAAAGGTTATTATAAGAACGAATCTTGTGTAACGTACCTATAAATTAAATTACAAACAATTCAAAATGTTTTCGATATAACCTCAAAATGTTGGTACTTTTTACCAGAGAACATCGAGAAGCGTCATATTTTAAATTAAATGACGGTTGAAGGCTCCTCGACTTATGTTGGCAACAGTGTTCGTTTCTAACTAGGAATAAAATTAACTGGAAAAAATGTAATAACATTTTTAACGACGCGTTTTACTTTCGACAAATTGACACTTGATTTACCAGAATATTACAAGCTGCTTACTGTTTCCTTCACTCTAAATTCAGGTCGCACGAATTACAGTTCGTCGTCTGAGAACTTGTTTGATCTACAGACCAGAGCGCACTCAGGCCAATGTCGACTCTAAGCGTTCGGAAACGATTTGATTTATAAGCCATGGTCCGTGATCTGATACACATCCTAACCTATAATTTCTTGCTGTTTCAACTTTCGAATTCTCAGTTTATCGAAATTTTAGTTTGGGGACTTTTCAGTTTACTCCTATTTATTATTTAATTTTTAATTTCTCAATTTTTCAATTTCTCGGTTTTCAGTTTCTCTCTTCAATTTTACGATTTTTAAATATTTCGATTTTTCAATTTTTGACTTTTATAAACTCTTTATTTGTCGATTTTTCGATTAATTGATTTTTCAGGTTTTTTGGTTTTTCAATTTTTCTATTTTTTCAGGTTTCGATTTTTCAACTTCACTTTTTTGGTTTTTCGATTTCTCAATTTTTCAATTTTTTAATTTCTCGGTTTTTCGACATTTCAGTTTTAGGATTTTTCAGTTTACTTATTATTCAATTTTTCGATCTTACGATTTTGCAGATTTTTTATGTTTCAATTTTTCGATTCTTTAGATTCTCAGTTTTTCGATATTTCAGTTTTGGGATTTTTCAATATTTCTGTTCTTCGACTTTTCCATTTTTGACTTCTGGATTTTTCGATGTGTCGACTTTTTACTTAATTTTCGATTTTTAAATTTTAGATTTCTCAATTTTTTGGTATTTTAATTTTTCAATATTTAAAATTTTAGATTTTTCTATTTCTCGATTTTTCATTTTAGCTCTTCCATATTTCAATTTTTCAAATATTTCGATTTCTAATCTTAATCTTTCGATTTTTCGACTTTCCGGTTTTAGATTTTCTGTTTTTCAATTGTCGTTTTTTATAATTTTCGATTTTTCAATTTTTCAAATTTGACATTTATAAACTATTAATTTTTCGATTTTTCAATTAACCGATGTTTTGATTTTCCCATTTCTTGACTTTCTAGGGTTTCGATATTCCTGTTCAATTCTTTAATTTTTCGATTTTTCAGGTTTTTGATTTTTCATTTTTTAGTTTTTTTAAGGTTTCGATTTTTCGACTTCACTTTATGGATTTTTCGATTGCTCAATTTTTTGACTTTTTAGGTTCTCAGTTTTTGGATATGTCAGTTTTCGGATTTTTCAGGTTTTCCCATTTTTCAGTTTTTCGATATCTCAGTTTTGGGATTTTTCAATATTTTGATTCTTCGACTTTTCGATTTTTGACTCCTGGATTTTTCGATGTGTCGACTTTTTCACATTTTCGATTTTTCAATTTTTCGATTTTTAAATTTTCGATTTTTTAATTCTTAAAATTTTAGATTTTTCGATTTCTCGATTTTTCATTTCAGTTCTTCGATATTTCAATTTTTCAAGTTTTCGAATTTTTCAAATGTTTCGATTTCTTAATCTTTTGATTTTTCGAATTCGCGGTTTTAGATTTTCGGTTTTTCACATGTCATTTTGTCAAATTTTCGATTTTTTAATTTTTCAAATTTGACTTTTATAAACTCTCAATTTATCGATTTTTCAATTAATCGATGTTTTGATTTTCCCATTTCTTGACCTTCGAGTGTTTCGATTTTTCTGTTCTTCAATTCTTTAATTTTTTGATTTTTCAGGTTTTTGATTTTTCAATTTTTCGATTTTTTAAGGTTTCTATTTTTCGACTTCACTTTTTTGATTTTTCGATATTTCAGTTTAGGATTTTTCAATATTTCATTTCTTCGACTTTTCTATTTCTGACTTCTGGATCTTTCGATGTGCTTTACTTTTTCGGTTTTTCAATTTTTGGATTTTTAAATTTTAGATTGTTCAATCTTTTGATAGTTTAGTTTTTCAATATTTCTTAGTCTTTTGATTTTTCGACTTCCTGGTTTTAGATGTTCTATTTTTCAATTTTCGATTTGTTAATTTTTCATTCCCGATTTATCGAGATTTGATTGTTCAGGTTTTCGATTTATCAGTTTTTCAATTTTTTATTTTGGCCTATTTCGGTTTCTCATTTTTTCCAGTTTTCCATTTTTTCGTTTTTTTTTTATGTTTCCGCTTTTCCAATTTTTCAACTTTTAACTTTTTGTTTGTCGGTTTCTCTATTTTTCAATTTTTCGACTTCATGACTTTTCGATTTCTCGATCTTTTGATTATTCAATCTCTCAGTTTTTCAATTTTTCGAATTTTAAGTTTTTTGATTTCTCGATTTATCGAGATTTGGATTTTCCGTTATTTTGATTGTCAATTTATAAATTGTTCAATTTTTAACTTTTCGATTTTTCGATTTTGGCCTATTTCGGTTTCTCAATTCTTCGACTTTTCGACTCCATGATTTCTTGATCTTTTGATTTTTCGATTTCTCGGTTTTTCAGTTATCCGACTTTTTAAATTTGGGAGTTTCGATTTCTCAATTTTTCGTTATTCGATTTTTAAATTTTAGATTTTTGAATTTCACATTTTTTCGATTTTCTGATGTTTTATTTTTCGATTTTCAGTTCTTCCATATTTCGATTTTTCAAGGTTTCGATTTTTCGATTATTAGATTTCTCGATTTTTCAAATTTTCGATTATTTTAATTTTTCATTTTTTTTCTCACTGTTAATATCATACAGTGTATTGATAACAACCACAAAAATTGTCACTAAAAACATTTAAAAATTCATACAAAATAGAACACAGTGTTTCCAAAACATTTTCATAAAAAAATCCATTGGGTTATTACAATTTCAACAATATTCTTAGTTTAAGACGTTTTGCTAGTATAAAACACAAATAAAGAATTAATCTTAGTTAAACAAAATATGTAAAATCATCTAAATGTGTACCAAAAATATTCACCTAGTCGTTATAAAAACCGACCAAACAACTATTTCCCGCAGAAATTATAGTCCAAACCAACCAAATCCCTTCTGAACGCTTAGAGTCGACATTGGCCTGAGCGCGCTCTGGTCTGTAGATCAAACAAGTTCTCAGGTGACAAGTTGTAGTGAAACAAGTTTTTTATTGGCATCGACTATTTAAATTTGGCGCTTGAGGACTCCAATGTCAATAAGGGTGGTTTTGCAAAATCAGACTGTATGTCGCATCTATATTAATCTATGTTTTTACTTTAGTCGTTTCATGTTGGTAGTAAATTCGTTAAAGAGACCAAGATTATGCAGCCCGTTATACACGTTTGTAATAAATACGTTCGAATGGAGTCCATCGGGCAAATGACTATTTTCATGTTTTTTTATGTTTCGTGACCCTTGGAGTCTGAAAAATTAGGTCTCTCGTTTCCATTTAACAGAAATTACCAAACCGAATGTTGTCAAATTTTGTATATTTATAAGGAATGTCGTATGAGATAACGTCATGTTCAAATTTTACAATATTAAATGTTATTTAAATTGTATAAAATGACATGCTTCTCTGCATCCGTGTTGACTATTTATTGTAGGCATCCAGACTTTTGGAAAAAAAATCAAAGTTTGAGATTTTTTGATTTTTCGATATCCTGATTTTTATAACTTTTATTTGTCGGTTTTTCCGTGGTTCGATTTTTTTAATTTAACTGTACATTTTGTGCAAACTTCACCTGTGACGTCAAACACGATTTTTATTTGTTATTAGATGGTCTCTTTTCGCATTCGAGTGGCGCCTTTTTACGTGGTCGTTTAAATTCGAACAACTCTTACTTTTGTGCGGACAATGTATGCATTCGTACCATTTCACGTCCTCATCATCTAGATGCCGTGCGTTAATGTGACCTTTCAGACTGCTTTTATCTTTGCACTTGTAAGGACACTCACTACAATGGTGCCACTTGATTTCGTTCATGTCCAAATGCCGCCGATTTATATGTTTCTTTAAAGCCTGAGGATATTTGGTTTTGAATTGGCACTTTTCACAATCATACCATTTAATGTCATATCGTTCCAAATGCAGCGATTTCACGTGCTTCGTTAAGGTTGAACAATCTCTAGTCTTGTATGGACACTGTTGACATTCATACCACTTGCCGTCCTTTTCGTCCATATGACAAACGTCCACGTGTCTCGTCAAGGACCTGTTGTGTTTACATCTAAATGAGCACTGTTTACATTCATACCACTTGGCGTCTTGGTCGTCCAGATGCCGTGCGTTAATGTGCCTTTTCAAACTGGTTCTGTCTTTAGTCCGGAAGGGACACTCAGCGCATTGCTGCCACTCTATTTCGCCCTCGTCCAAATGGCGCGCATTCATGTGTTTATTTAAAGCTTGTCGGTATTTGGTTTTGTATTGGCATTGTTCACAATTGTACCATTTGAGGTCGTGTTGGTTCGAATGCCGCGCATTCACGTGTTTATGCAAAACCCTCTCAAAGGTTGTTTTAAATGTACACTCGTTGCACTGATACCACGTGATACTTTTTTCATTCGAATGCTGGCTTATCAGGTGACGCCTTAAGTTCGAACAATCTCTAGTCTTGTACGGGCACTGTTGGCATTCGTACCACTTGCCGTCCTTTTCGTCCAAATGGCAACGGTTGACGTGTCTCGTCCAGGATGAGTTGTGTTTACATCTAAATGAGCACTGTTTACATTTGTACCATTTGGCGTCAAGGTCGTCTACATGGCGTGCGTTAATGTGCTTTTTCAAACCAGCTTTTTCTTTACTCTTGAAGGGACACTCAGCGCACTGGTGCCACTTGATTTTGTCCTCAACCAACTGACACTCATTCATGTGACATAACCATTTAAGAGAAAAATGCGTCTCAAATCCGCACTTTCCACAAACGTACTTTTCATTATTGTATTGTAGAATTAAATCGTCGTTGTTTTCTTGTTTGATTCCATGACGGTCTTTAATGTGTCGCTTCAAAAGCAACGTTAGTTCAGTTTGAAAATTGCAGTGTTTGCAATAGTAAGAATCAAGGGGGTTTTCACAGTTAAAAGATGCCAAGGGCGACTGATGCCGGTGAATGTGGTCCATCATCAGAAAAACCGATGTTGTAAAGAATGGGTAAATTTTACAATCATAGACTTTTTTTCCGGGGAAGGATTCTTGTCTGTCGTGTACGCAACGGAATATCTCAAAATTTCAGTTTCAACTAGTCTGAAATTCATGCGGTATTGTTACGTCAAAAGTTTTTTATAAAAACGAATCTTGTGTTACGTACCTGTAAATTAAATTAAAAACAATTCAAATTGTTTTCGACATAACCTAAAAATGTTGGTGCTTTTTACTTTAGTTGTTTTATGTTGGTGATAAATTCGCTAAAATGATCGAGACTATGCAACACGTTATACACGTTTGTTAGCATTATTGTGTTTATATATTTTTTTTTATTTCAAAACACTTGACAGCTTTTTCCTCACTTTGTTTTCCATAGTATATATAACCGTTACCTCTAAATGTACTGTACAACAGAGACTCCATAATTTTAGCTGTTGTTGTAGTCGGTCTAAGTTTGTAAATACGTCCAAAATTTGAAGCCATAACCCTAATTTCTCTTTCTTTTGCCCAAATGTGCCTGTTGCCTAGTATCTATTTCAATTTGGTCTAAATTCAAAGATAATTTTCTCAAAAAAACCTCTTTGGCTGTAACAAATGTTTCTACATCCATGTCAGGATTATCTAAAAAATATTTAAACAATAATCGCAGTCGGGACCACCATACATACATTTTTTTCCGACATATTTTTTTACGAATACTTTGTCTAAGACGAGCTTGTTTCATAGACGAACAATATTTTTTTGTTATTAAACAAGGACCGTTTTAATCACAATATATTTACTTATCCCCTCTAAAAAATTCATCACGTCAACTCAAAATTTTGCTGAATAAATCCTATCTAAAATCTACAAAATATGATGAGTCTCTTCTTATAATTTATCATCCCATTCATATTTTTTGGATTCGGATATTTAGGGTGACTCAAAAAATTTAATGAATGCGCAAATTTATTTTATTAGTTTAATCAGGAACTACAAAACCGAATGCTTTGAAATCTTGGAAATGTTTTAAATTTATCATAAGCATGGTAAATTTTTGATCAAAATATATTTACTCATCCCTCCTAAAAAATGGATGACGCCACCCCAAAATTTCGCTGAATTAATCCTATATCAAATGTATAAAATATGATGAGTCTCTTCTTGTGATTTATCATTCCATTCATGTTTTTTTGGATTTGCATTTACAGGATGACCCCAAAAATTAATGAATGCGTAAATTTATTTTATTGATATAATCAGGAACTACAGAACTTGATGCTTTGAAATCTAATGTGAAAGAAAAAACATAATAGGCATGCAGTCGTCACGTTTCCGATAGCGAGGGAAGTACTGTCTAAACTCTTTAGACTGATTTTTTTGATTTTCCCATTTCTCCATTTCTCAATTTTTCAATATTTCAATTTGGGATTTTTTCACTGTTTCGATTCTTTAATTTTCCTTCCAATTTTAGGTTTTTCAATATTTCAGCTTTGGATTTTTGCAATATTTCGTTTCTTCAATTTTTCAAATTTTTGATATTGTGTTTCCTCGGTTTTTAAATTTTTCGATGTTTTAATTTTTCAGTTTTTAAAGTTTTAGGTTTTTAGATTTCTCGCTATCTCGACTTTTCGATTTTTCAGTTCCATAATTTTTCAATTTGTCGAATTTTTAAATTTTAGATGTTTTGTTTTCTTTGATGTTTTGAGTTCTCGATCATTCGATTTTCTGAGTTTTCAGGCTTGGATTTTTTTTGTTGTTCAATTCTTGGATTTTTAAAATTTTTGTTTTTTAAATTTTCCTATTTATCAACTTACTGGGATTTCAATGTTTTGATTTTTTGATTGTTCAATTTCTCGATTTTTTGAATTTTTAGTTTTTGATACGATTTGTTTTTCAAAAATTTTCAGTTTTTCAGTTTATTAACTTTACGATGCTTCAGTTTTGCTCGATTTAGATTTCTCAATCTTTCGACATATTACTATTGGGATTTTTCAATTTATCGATTCTTCGATTTCTCGATTCATCGTATTTTCGGTTTCTCGAATTTCTTCATTTTTCGATTTCTCAATTTTCCGATGTTTCAGTTTTACGATTTTTAAATTTTTTTATTTTTCAGTTTTCAATTTTTGACTTTTCTAAATTTTTCGATTTCTCAATTTTTCGATTAACTGATTTTTTTATTTTCCCATTTCTATATTTCTCGATTTTTCAATTCTTTCTTCAATTGTGATTTTTCAATTTTTCGATTTCTGAATTTTTCAATTTTCAGTTTTGGATTTTTTCACTTTTCCGATTCTTCAATTTTCTTTCCATTTTTCAGTTTTTCAAGATTTCAGTTTTCCTTCCATTTTTCAGTTTTTCAGTATTTCAGTTCTGGGATTTTGCAATGTTTCGGTTCTTCAATTTTTCCATTTTTTGATGTTTTGATTTCTGGGTTTTTCAATTTTTCGATAGGTATTTTAATTTTTCAATTTTTAAGTTCTAGATTTTCCGTTAATTTTTTTGTTTTCCTTGATGTTTTGATTTGTCGATTATTCAATTTTTCAAGTTCTCGGTTTAGATTTTTTGGCTTTCCAGTTCTTCGATTTTTAAATTGTTTAATTTTTAGATTGTTCAATTTCTCGATTTTTAGATTTTTCAATTTTTAGATTTTTCAATTTTTCGGTTTACCGATTTTTTCTCATTTAAAATGTTTCAGTTTTTCAATTATTAACTTTTCGGTTTTTCAATTTTGGTCTAATTTGATTTCTTAATTTTTTGATTTTTTGACTCCTCTACTGTTGATGTTTTGATTTCTCGATGTTTCAGTTTTTGAACATTCCGATGTTTCGAATTTTCGACTTTTTGGCTTTTCGAGTGTTCAATTTTTTGATTTTTGAATTTTAGATTTCTGTTTTTTGATTTTTTTGGTGTTTCGATTTCCCAATTCTTCAATTTTTCGATATTTTAATTTTTCAATATTCCGAATTTTTAAATTTTCGATTTTTCCTTTCTTTTATTTCTCAATTTTTGGATTTTTAAATTTTACATTTTTCAATTTTACTATTTTTTGATGCTTGGATTTCTCAATTTTTCAAGTTTTCAATACTCAATTTTTCAGGATTTGAATATTGAGAACTTTTCAATTTCTGGATTTTCAATTTTCAGATATTTTGATTTTTTGATTTTTTAATGTTTCGATTTTTGGGTGTTTTGATTTTTCGATTTTTCCGATTTGTTGTCTAACCTTCTGTGACGTACATACTTTTGCCATTAAAAACGCATTTTCAAAAAGTATAAAAAGGAACTACAAAAATGTAAAATAACAATAAGAATAAGTGCATTGTAATGACATAGTCATTCTCACCGTGTTATTATAAACGACCAAAAGTAATAAATAAACTACAGTTAGTGTGACGTCTAGTTATCAATCCCATACCAACTCACTACATAATGTAAGCCTACACGAAAAAAAGGTGTATAACGTGTTGCATAATCGTGGTCTATTTAACGAATATACTACCAATATGAAACGACTAAAGTAAAAAGTACCAACTTTTTGAGGTTATATCGAAAACAATTTGAATTGTTTGTAATTTAGTTTACAGGTACGTTAAACAAGATTCGTTTTTATAATAACCTTTTGATGTAACAATACTGCATGAATTTCAGACTAGTTGAAACGGAAACTTTGAAATATTCCATAACGTACACGGCACACAAGACCTCTTCCCTGGTAAAAGTCCACGATTGTAAAATTTCCCCATGCGTTACAACCTCGTTTTTTCTGATGATGAACCACATTCGCCGCCATCAGTCGCGCTTGTCATTGTTTAAGTGTGAAAACCCCCTTGATTCTTACCATTGCAAACACTGCAATTTTCAATCCGAACTAACGTTGCTTTTCAAGCAACACACTAAAGAACATCATGGAATTAAACACGAAAACGACGATTTAATCCTACAATACAATAATCAAAAGTATGTTTGTGTAAAGTGCGGCTTTGAAACGCATTTTTCGCTTAAATGGTTATGTCACAAACGAGTGTCAACAATGTAACGAAAAAGCCGGTTTGAAAAAGCACGTTAACGCACGACATGTAGACGACCTTGACAGCAAATGGTACAAATGTAAACAGTGCTCATTTAGATGTAAACACAACTCATCTTTGTCTCGACACGTGAACCGTTGTCACTTGGACGAAAACGACGACAACTGGTATGAATGCGAACAGTGCCCGTACAAGACTAGAATCAGTTTGAACTTAAAGCGTCACCTAATAAACCAACACTCGAATGGAAAAAGTATCACATGGTATCAATGCAACGAGTGTCTATTTAAAACAACTTTCGAGGGGGATTTACAGAAACACGTGAAAACGCGACATTCGAACCGACACGACATCAAATGGTACAATTGTGAAAAATGCGACTACAAAACTGAATACCGGCAAGCTTTAAATAAACACGTGAATGCGCGCCACTTGGACGAGGACGAAATCGAGTGGCACCACTGCACTCTGTGTCCTTTCAAAAGCAAAGACAAAAGCGGTTTGAAAAACACATTAACGCACGGCATCTGGACGACCAAGACGCGAAATGGTACGAATGCGAACAGTGCTCATTTAGATGTAAATACAACAAGTCCTTGACGAGACACGTGAACGTTTGTCATTTGGACGAAAAGGACGGCAAGTGGTATGAATGTCAACAGTGTCCATACAAAACTAGAGAGGCTTCGACCCTAGCGAAGCACGTGAAATCCCTGCATTCGGAACAATATGACATCAAATGGTTTGATTGTGAAAAGTGCCAATACAAAACCAAATACCCTCAGTCTTTAAAGAAACATATAAATCGGCGCCATTCGGACGAGAATGAAATCAAGTGAGTGTTATTACAAGTGCAAAGATATGAGCAGTTTGAAAGATCACATTAACGCACGGCATCTAGATGATCAGGACGTGAAGTTGGTACGAATGCAGATATTGTCCACACAGAAGTGAGAGTTGTTCGAATTTAAACGACCACATAAAAAGGCGCCACTTGAATGCGAAAAATGTACTTTTGAAACCATGAATAAAAATTATATTTATTATTAAAAAGCGAACAAGATTGAAAAATTAAAGAATCGAAAAATCCCAACACTGAAACGTTGGAAAATTTAAAAATGCAACTCTGCATGTCTTGGGTAAAAATTCAACACAGAGTTATAAACCAGAAGCAGGGCAGTATGCCATTTTTTACAATTTAAGTAACATTTACTACTGTAAAATTTTTATATTACGCCATCTCATACGACACTCCTAATAAATATACACCTACTCTTTCGTACTCTGAAAGTCACGAAACATCAAAAAAATATGAAAATTGTAGTTTGTCCGATGAACTCGATTCGAACATGAAAATGACAAATCATGTATAACGTGTTGCATACCCTGGATCTATTTAACTAATTTACTACCAACATGAAGCGACTAAAATAAAAAGCACCAATATTTTGAGGTTATGTCGAAAACACATTGAAAACAGTTTAAATTGTTTTTAATTTAATTTACAGGTACGTAACACAAGATTCGTTTTTATAGTAAACTTTTAACGTAACAATACTGCATTAATTCCAGACTAGTCGAAATGGTGACTTTGCAGTTTTCCAAATCCGTCACGGCCCCCAAGAAACCCTCTCTGGTTAATGTCCACGCCTGTAAAATTTGCCCATACGTTACAACATCGTTTCTTCTGATGATAAACCACGTTCGGCGCCATCAGTCGCCTTTGGAATCTTTTAACTGTGAAAACCCCCTTGATTCTTACCATTGCGAACACTGCAATTTTCAAACTGAACTAACGTTGCTTTTCAAGCAACACATTAAAGAACATCGTGGAATTAAACACGAAAACGACGATTTAATTGTACAGCACAATAATCAAAAGTACGTTTGTGGAAAGTGCGGATTTGAGACGCATTTTTCGCTTAAATGGTTACGTCACAGGAAAGAGTGTCAACAACCAAATTCGAAATTGCAGCATTTTTTGGTTGAGGACAAAATCAAGTGGCTGCACTGCGCTGAGTGTACTTTCAAGAGTAAAGGAAAACGCGGTTTGAGAAGGCACATTAACGCACGACATTTAGACGACCTTGTCGCGAAATGGTACGAATGTAAACAGTGCTCATTTAGATCTAAATACAACCACTCTTTGTCGCGACATGTGATCAGTTGTCATTTAGACAAAAAGGACGGCAAGTGGTACGAATGCCAACAGTGTCCTTACAAGACTAGAGAATATTCGAAATTAAGGAGTCACATGATAAGCCAGCATTCAAATGGAGAAAGTATCACGTGGTATCAGTGCAACGAGTGTACATTTAAAACAACCTTCGACAGGGTTTTAGAGATGCACGTGAATGCGCGACATTCGAACCGACACTTTGTTAAATGGTACGATTGTGAAAAATGCCAATACAAAACCAAATGGCGGTTTAAATTAAATAAACACATGAATGCGCGGCATTTGGACGAGGACGAAATAGAGTGGCACCACTGCAGTGAGTGTCCATACAAGTCCAAAGACAAAGACGGTTTGAAAAGACACATTAACGCACGGCATCTGGACGACCAAGACGCGAAGTGGTATGAATGTACACAGTGTCCATTTAAGACTAGAAATTGTTCGGCCCTAAAGAAGCACGTGAATTCTCAGCATTTGGAACGATTTGACATCAAATGGTATGATTGTGAAAATTGCGAATTCAAAACCAAATATCCCCAGTCTTTAAGGATTCATATAAATCGCTGGCATTTGGACAAGAATGAAATCAAGTGGCACCATTGCAGTGAGTGTGCGTTTAGGAGCAAAAACAAAGCAAGTTTGAAAAGTCACATTAACGCACGGCATCTTAGCGACTACGATGCGAAATGGTACGAATGCACACACTGTTCACACAGAACTAAACATCCTTCAAATTTAAACTACCACATAAAAACGCAACACTTGAAAGCGAAAAGTGACCATCTAATAGCAGACAAAAATCGAGTTTGACGTCACAAATTAAAATAAACTGATTAATTGAAAAATCAAGAAATTGATCCAAAATTTAAATGTTTAAAAATTGTGAAAACGAAGACTCAAAAATTAAAAAATCGAACCATTGAGGAATCCCGGAACTGAAATATCGTAAAATTGACGAGTGAAAAAGTCGAACAATCAAAAAATCTCAAAGTTCGATTGAGTAAAAATTCAAGACGGATTCATAAACCAGAAGCAGAGCAGTATGTCATTTTACTCGGTAATTTCGGGTATTACCTGTCAACAGACTGACAGACGGAAACTGTGATATTTAATTGTTATATATATATATATTATCCCTAATATACTCTGAAGCTCTTTTTTAATTTTTGGATCTTTAGTGGCCAGTATTGCTTTGATTCTGTCTGAATCAGTTTCAACACCTTGAGACGAAAATATTTCACTGACTTAGTTTTCAATTGTAATTTATCTTTATTAAATGTAGCCCCCAAAAATTTTTTATTCATAATCTTGAGACATCCAAATGACTGTAAAAACACTTTTTATGACTTAAATGTTCGACAATACCTTTTAACACTTTTAATTAAATTTAACTTCGTAACACCTAGAATTGGGGTTACAAAATTGTCAATCGCAATAAAATTATCTAAAATCTCAAAATTTTTTGACGGACAATTCAGTGAGATTTTACCACAGACGAAGAATTCCTTATTGGTCTGTGGATCGTGCAAACCCTTAAACGTGCATAAAGAGTTACATAACCTTGATCGGTCACCAATTGACTACCAACATTAAGCAACTAAAGTATCAACGTGGTATCAACAGTTCTAGGTTATGTTTAAACCAATGTGACTTCTTGTTTTGTTTTTAATTTAACTCAGAGGTAAAAATTCAAGATTCTTTATTATGATCATCTTTGAATAAATTTCAGACTAGTCGAAATGGTGACTTTGCAATATGCCGAATCCGTCACGGCCCCCAAGAAACACTCTCTGATCGATGTCCACGCTTGTAAAATTTGCCCGTACGTTACAACATCGTTTTTCCTGATGAAGAACCACATACGCCGCCATCAGTCGCCTTTGGTACCTTTTAACTGCGAAAACCCCCTTGATTCTCACCATTGCAAACACTGCAATTTTCAAACCGAACTAACGTTGCTTTTCAAGCAACACATTAAAGAAAATCATGGAATTAAACACGAAAACGACGATTTAATTGTACAGCACAAAAATCAAAAGTACGTTTGTGAAAAGTGCGGATTTGAGTCGCATTTTTTGCTTAAATGGTTATGTCACATGCGAGAGTGTCAACAAACTAAAGAACAACCAAACTTGAAAATGCAGCATTTGGTCGAGGACAAAATCAAGTGGTACCACTGCGCTGACTGTACCTTCAAGAGTAAAGGAAAACCCGGTTTGAAAAACCACATTAACGCACGGCATCTGGACGACATTGTCGCGAAATGGTATGAATGTAAACAGTGCTCATTTAGATCTAAACACAACCAATCTTTGTGGCGACATGTGATCGCTTTTCATTTGGACGAAAAGGACGGCAAGTGGTTTGAATGCCCACAGTGTCTACACAAGACTAGAGAAAATTCGAAACTAATGCGTCACCTGTTAAACAACCATTCGATTAAAAAAAGTATCACGTGGTATCAGTGCAAGGAGTGTCGATTTAAAACAACTTTCGAGGGGGATTTACAGAAACACGTGAAAGCGCGGCATTTGAACGACCGAGACACCAAGTGGTATGAATGTAAACAGTGTCCGTTCAAAACTAGATATTGTTCGCCTCTAAAGAAGCACGTGAAATTGCAGCATTTGGATCAAAATGACATCAGATGGTATGATTGTGTAAAGTGCCAATTCAAAACCAAATACCCCCATGCTTTAAAGAATCATATAAATCGCTGGCATTTGGACGAGAATGAAATCAAGTGGCACCACTGCAGTGAGTGTTCGTTCAAGAGCAAAAACAAAGGAGGTTTGAAAGGTCACATTAACGCTCAGCATCTGAGCGACCAAGAAGCGAAATGGTACGAATGCACACATTGCCCATACAAAACTAAGAATCCTTCAAATTTAAACTCCCACACAAAAAGGCGCCACTCGAATGCGAAAAGTGACAACGTAATAGCAGACAAAAATCGAGTTTAATTGTGAAGTTCAAACAAAGTGTACAGTCGTGGTGAATGTCCATGCAGACTTACACTTTTCTCGTTCCATTGATATAGAAAATAAAAGAATTAAAAATTAAACGACTTGTAACTGTATAACGTGTTGCATAATTTTGAACTGTCACAAATTTGCTGCCAACAGTAAGCAACCAAAGTACCAACATTTTGAGGTTATGTTTCGACAAATTTGATTTCATCAATTATTTATTATTTAACGAAGAGGTAAAAAATCCAGAATTAGTGTTTATAATCGCATTGAAAAATGGAAACAACCAAAAGTTGAAAGATCGAAAAATCTAAAAATGAAAAATTAAAATCGGAAAATTTTAAAATTTAAACAACCGAAAAAGGAAAAATTGATGACGAAAAATCTAAACGTTTAAAAATCTGAAATAAAAAAAAAGTCGACAAATGAGAAATACATAAAAAAACAGAAACAAATTTTATTTATTTTAAAAAAATCTCTCGCAAAATCAGGTTCCTCCTTCTTCTTAAATCAATGATTTCGGGCAATAACGCGTCAAAGTAAAATCTGCAAGTTTATCTGTCATCTTTTTACATATTTCTTCGTTTTTTTCTATATTAATTCGTTTGGGTGTCCACACAACAAAATAAACTTGTGAAATACCCGTAACAAGCATTGGACTTGAAAGTAGTAACCATGATTTTTTTTACTTTCAATTCTCTGTCTGTCAATGTACAAAATTTGATTTTTTTTTTTCTAACCGCTTCTTCGGGAGACAAATCTTGCGATTTTGAGGGCATTTAATTTCGACTAATGCACTCCTATCCTCTAGCACCCTGTCTGGACTAGCAGCTATGTAAGGAAATTGTTTTGAAATAAAGACACACCATTCAGTTTTTATATTTTTATTTATTTCAAAACACTTGACAGCTTTTTCCTCACTTTGTTGTCCATAGTATGTATGACTATTACCTCTAAATGTACTGTACAACAGAGACTCCACAGTTTTAGCTGTTGTTGTAGTCGGTCTAAGTTTGTAAATACGTCCAAAATTTGAAGCCATAACCCTAATTTCTCTTTCTTTTGCCCAAATGTGCCTGTTGCCTAGTGTCTATTTCAATTTGGTCTAAATTCAAAGATAATTTTCTCAAAAAAACCTCTTTGGCTGTAACAAATGTTTCTACATCCATGTCAGGATTATCTAAAAAATATTTAAACAATAATCGCAATCGGGACCACCATACATACATTTTTTTCCGACATATTTTTTTACCAATACTTTGTCTAAGACGAGCTTGTTTCATAGACGAACAATATTTTTTTGTTATTAAACGAGGACCGTTTTAATCACAATATATTTACTTATCCCCTCTAAAAAATTCATCACGTCAACTCAAAATTTTGCTGAATAAATCCTATCTAAAATGTACAAAATATGATGAGTCTCTTCTTGTAATTTATCATCCCATTAATATTTTTTGGATTCGGATATTTAGGGTGACTCAAAAAATTTAATGAATGCGCAAATTTATTTTATTAGTTTAATCAGGAACTACAAAACCGAATGCTTTGAAATCTTGGAAATGTTTTAAATTTATCATAAGCATGGCAAAATTTTTGATCAAAATATATTTACTCATCCCCCCTAAAAAATGGATGACGCCACCCCAAAATTTTGCTGAATAAATCCTATATAAAATGTATAAAATATGATGAGTATCTTCTTGTGATTTATCATTCCATTCATGTTTTTTTGGATTTGCATTTACAGGATGACCCCAAAAATTAATGAATGCGTAAATTTATTTTATTGATTTAATCAGGAACTACAGAACCTGATGCTTTGAAATCTAATGTGAAAGAAAAAACATAATAGGCATGCAGTCGTCACGTTTCCGATAGCGAGGGAAGTACTGTCTAAACTCTTTAGACCGATTTTTTTGATTTTCCCATTTCTCCATTTCTCAATTTTTCAATATTTCAATTTGGGATTTTTTCACTGTTTCGATTCTTTAATTTTCCTTCCATTTTTAAGTTTTTCAATATTTCAGCTTTGGAATTTTGCAATATTTCGTTTCTTCAATTTTTCAAATTTTTGATATTGTGTTCCCTCGGTTTTAAAATTTTTCGATGTTTTAATTTTTCAGTTTTTAAAGTTTTAGGTTTTTAGATTTCTCGCTATCTCGACTTTTCGATTTTTCAGTTCCATGATTTTTCAATTTGTCGAATTTTTAAATTTTAGATTTTTTGTTTTCTTTGATGTTTTGAGTTCTCGATCATTCGATTTTCTGAGTTTTCAGGCTTGGATTTTTTTTGTTGTTCAATTCTTGGATTTTTAAAATTTTTGTTTTTTAAATTTTCCAATTTATCAACTTACTGGGATTTCAATGTTTTGATTTTTTGATTGTTCAATTTCTCGATTTTTTGAATTTTTAGTTTTTGATACGATTTGTTTTTCAAAAATTTTCAGTTTTTCAATTTATTAACTTTACGATGCTTCAGTTTTGCTCGATTTAGATTTCTCAATTTTTCGACATATTACTATTGGGATTTTTCAATTTATCGATTCTTCGATTTCTCGATTCTTCATATTTTCGGTTTCTCGAATTTCTTCATTTTTCGATTTCTCAATTTTCCGATGTTTCAGTTTTACGGTTTTTAAATTTTTTTATTTTTCAGTTTTCAATTTTTGACTTTTCTAAATTTTTCGATTTCTCAATTTTTCGATTAACTGATTTTTTTATTTTCCCATTTCTCTATTTCTCGATTTTTCAATTCTTTCTTCAATTGTGATTTTTCAATTTTTCGATTTCTGAATTTTTCAATTTTCAGTTTTGGATTTTTTCACTTTTCCGATTCTTCAATTTTCTTTCCATTTTTCAGTTTTTCAAGATTTCAGTTTTCCTTCCATTTTTCAGTTTTTCAGTATTTCAGTTCTGGGATTTTGCAATGTTTCGGTTCTTCAATTTTTCCATTTTTTGATGTTTTGATTTCTGGGTTTTTCAATTTTTCAATAGGTATTTTAATTTTTCAATTTTTAAGTTCTAGATTTTCCGTTAATTTTTTTGCTTTCCTTGATGTTTTGATTTGTCGATCATTCAATTTTTCAAGTTCTCGGTTTAGATTTTTTGGCTTTCCAATTCTTCGATTTTTAAATTGTTTAATTTTTAGATTGTTCAATTTCTCGATTTTTAGATTTTTCAATTTTTCGGTTTACCGATTTTTTCTCATTTAAAATGTTTCAGTTTTTCAATTATTAACTTTTCGATTTTTCAATTTTGGTCTAATTTGATTTCTTAATTTTTTGATTTTTTGACTCCTCTACTGCTGATGTTTTGATTTCTCGATGTTTCAGTTTTTGAACATTCCGATGTTTCGAATTTTCGACTTTTTGGCTTTTCGAGTGTTCAATTTTTTGATTTTTGAATTTTAGATTTCTGTTTTTTGATTTTTTTGGTGTTTCGATTTCCCAATTCTCCACTTTTTCGATATTTTAATTTTTCAATATTTCGAATTTTTAAATTTTCGATTTTTCTTTTCTTTTATTTCTCAATTTTTGGATTTTTAAATTTTACATTTTTCAATTTTACTATTTTTTGATGCTTGGATTTCTCAATTTTTCAAGTTTTCAATACTCAATTTTTCAGGATTTGAATATTGAGAACTTTTCAATTTCTGGATTTTCAATTTTCAGATATTTTGATTTTTTAATGTTTCGATTTTTGGATGTTTTGATTTTTCGATTTTTCCGATTTGTTGTCTAACCTTCTGTGACATACATACTTTTGCCATTAAAAACGCATTTTCAAAAAGTATAAAAAGTAACTACAAAAATGTAAAATAACAATAAGAATAAGTACATTGTAATGACATAGTCATTCTCACCGTGTTATTATAAACGACCAAAAGTAATAAATAAACTACAGTTAGTGTGACGTCTAGTTATCAATCCCATACCAACTCACTACATAATGTAACCCTACACGAAAAAAAGGTGTATAACGTGTTGCATAATCGTGGTCTATTTAACGAATATACTACCAATATGAAACGACTAAAGTAAAAAGTACCAACATTTTTAGGTTATGTCGAAAACAATTTGAATTGTTTGTAATTTAATTTACAGGTACGTTAAACAAGATTCGTTTTTATAATAACCTTTTGATGTAACAATACCGCATGAATTTCAGACCAGTTGAAACGGAAACTTTGAAACATTCCGTAACGTACACGGCACACAAGACCTCTTCCCTGGTAAAAGTCCACGATTGTAAAATTTCCCCATGCGTTACACCATCGTTTTTTCTGATGATGAACCACATTCGCCGCCATCAGTCGCGCTTGTCATCGTTTAAGTGTGAAAACCCCCTTGATTCTTACCATTGCAAACACTGCAATTTTCAAACCGAACTAACGTTGCTTTTCAAGCAACACACTAAAGAACATCATGGAATTAAACACGAAAACGACGATTTAATCCTACAATACAAAAATAAAAACTACGTTTGTGGAAAGTGCGGCTTTGAAACGCATTTTTCGCTTAAATGGTTATGTCACATGAACGAGTGTCAACAATGTAACGAAAAAGCCGGTTTGAAAAAGCACATTAACGCACGACATGTAGACGACCTTGACGGCAAATGGTACAAATGTAAACAGTGCTCATTTAGATGTAAACACAACTCATCTTTGGCTCGACACGTGAACCGTTGTCATTTGGACGAAAACGACGACAACTGGTATGAATGCGAACAGTGCCCGTACAAGACTAGAATCAGTTTGAACTTAAAGCGTCACTTGATAAGCCAGCACTCGAATGGAAAAATTCCCACGTGGTATCAGTGCAACGAGTGTCCATTTAAAACAACATTCAAGAGGGTTTTACAGAAACACGTGAAAACGCGACATTCGAACCGATACGACATCAAATGGTACAACTGTGAAAAATGCGACTACAAAACCGAATACCGGCAAGCTTTAAATAAACACGTGAATGCGCGGCATTTGGACGAGGACGAAATAAAGTGGCACCACTGCACTCTGTGTCCTTTCAAAAGCAAAGACAAAAGCGGTTTGAAAAAACACATTAACGCACGGCATCTGGACGACCAAGACGCGAAATGGTACGAATGCGAGCAGTGCTCATTTAGATGTAAGTACAACAAGTCCTTGACGAGACACGTGAACGTTTGTCATTTGGACGAAAAGGACGGCAAGTGGTATGAATGTCAACAGTGTCCATACAAGACTAGAGATGCTTCGACCCTGACGAAGCACGTGAAATCCTTGCATTCGGAACAATATGACATCAAATGGTTTGATTGTGAAAAGTGCCAATACAAAACCAAATACCCTCAGTCTTTAAAGAAACATATAAATCGGCGGCATTTGGACGAGAATGAAATCAAGTGGCACCGCTGCAGTAAGTGTCTTTACAAGTCCAAAGATATAAGCAGTTTGAAGGGTCACATTAACGCAAGGCATCTAGACGATGAAGACGCGAAATGGTACGAATGCACACTTTGTCCACACAAAACTAAGAATCCTTCAAATTTAAAGTACCACATGAAAACGCAGCATTTGAAAGCAGACAATAATCGAGTTTGACGTTACGAATGAAGTGTACGACTTTTCTCATTCCATTAATAGTATTAATACAGAAAATGAAAGAAATAAATATTAAATTGGACACTGTATAACGTGTTGCATAATTTTGATCTGTCTCAAATTTACTACCAACATCAAGCAACCAAAGTACCAATATTTTGAGGTTATGTTTACTAACAGTTTTTCTCAAAACTAAAAATGTCTCACTGTGCAGTGTCTGGTTGCTCAAACCGCCAACTGAAGTGTGTAAAAAACAGAGATATTAAATTTTATCGGTTTCCGAAAGCTAAAGACTTCTGTAAACAATGGGTTAAATTCTGTGGTCGGAAAGAAATAATTAATGTTAAAAACGGTAAGAAACAGCTATTTGAAAAATAAGTTACAACATATATGTATTTTAGCTCGAATATGCTCTGAGCACTTTACTGCTTCGTGTTCATATAAATCGCTTCAACACAAACTACTGCAGTACAGCCCCAAAAACAGACGAAGGCTAATGCCCGATGCTGTTCCAAGTGAAAAGGGACCTATATCTACAGAGGTAGGAATTGTGGAGCTAGCATCACCAAAAAAAATATCTTGCAGGAAAGACTTATTTGACGAAGTTCGTTCAATTGAGGTTTGCAACTGGGAGGAAAAATATAAGGAGCTACAACAGAAATTTAACGAACTTGAAAAAAAAATGGAAGCAATGAAGGCTGAGAATGTCTTGCTGAAGCAACAATTGCAAAAGAAGACAGACAACGCAGTGATAGCAAAAGCAGTGTCAATAGTGTTCACAAAAGGACAAATAAAGAAATTGTTTAGTAAGAAATAAATACAAGGTTTTCTAGAGACTGTTTACACATTTCGATTTTTTAAATTTTATTTTTTTAAGTTTCTAAATTAAGTCTTGAGTTTGCTTTTTCCCAATTTTTCAACATTTAAATTTTGGATCAACTTGAAAAATTTTTAATTCAAAAAAATTGAAACTCCCAAATGCCGAAACCGGGGAATTGAAAAAAAATCAATATTGAAACAGTAAAAAATCGAAAATGAAAAATTTTTGAAATCCAAACATGGAAAAGTAGGAGCTGAAAAAACGAAACTGGTAGATAAAAAAAGTGAGGAAGTGAAAAGTCGAAAAATGGGAAATTATAAATCCCAACAAACGTGTATGATGTGTTGCATAGTCTTGATCATTGTAGCGAATTTACTACCAACATGAAACAACTAAAGTAAAAAGTACCTGAAGGTACCAACATTTTTAGGTTACGTTTAGACAAATTAGGTTTCTGAGTTATTTTTAATTTAACTAATATTAAAAAAGCTAAAAAATACAAGATTCGTTTTTATAATCAAAAAAAGTCAAAAAATGAAAAGTTAAAAACAAAAAAAAAATAAAATTTAAATCGTAAAATTGAAGAAATGAAAAATCTAGTATTAAAATAAATTGGAAAAGCGAGACACTTAAAAATGTAAACTGTAAAAATCGAAAAATTGAAAATTCGAGAAAGCGAAAAGTCGATAAACCGAGAAATTGGGGAATCGCAAAATTCAAAAAATCACAGCAGCTTAAAATCCAAAAGCGATAAATCGGAAAATTAGAAATTAAAAAAGTTGAAAAATAAACAAATTAAAAAGATCGAAACACCAAAAAACCGAATTAGATTGAAAAATTGAAAAATCGAAAATCAAATAATCACAAACCGAAAGCTAAAAAATCGAATAATTGAAGAACTGACAAATCAAAAAATTGAAAAATAGAAGCAGCTCAAAATCCAAAAAGCGAAACATCGGCAAATTAGAAATTAAAAAACCGAAAAATCGAATAATATTGAAAAATTTAAGAATCGCAAAACCGAAATGTCAAAAAATCGAGAAATCAAAAAATCGAAACACAAAAACGAAAGCAAAATTAAAAAAAAAAAGAAAAATCGAGAAGGCGAAAAACCGAGAAATTGGAAAATTGAAAAATCGAGAAATTGAAATTTAAAAAAATAGAAGCAACCCAAAATCCAAAACGCGAAAACGCGGCAAATTAGGAATTAAAAAATTGAAATATTTACAATTAGAAAAACCGACGAATCACCGGAAAACCGAATTAGATTGAAATATTGAAGAATCGAAAATTCGAAATGTCAAAAAATTAAAACACGGACAAATTAAAAAATTTTAAAATTGACGCGTTGAAAAATAGAAAATCAAAAATATTGAAAATCGAAAAATGGAAAACCAAGATTTCGAAAAATCGAAAATCAAAACATTTGCAAAATCGAAACATCACAAAAACTAGAGCTTGAAAGTGTAGAATTTAAAATATCGAATAATTGAAAAACTAAAAGATCGAAAAATTAAAGAAATTAAAACAAGAAAATTCGAGAAATTGATCCAAATTTTAATTGGTGAAAAACTGAAAAAGGGAGAAGGCGAAAGGTCCAAAAACCGAGAAATTGAAATATTAAAATATATAAAAAAGTGAAAAACTGGAAAATTAGTAATTTAAAAAGTTGAAAAATTTAAAATTTGAAAACATCGAAAAACCGAATTAGATTAAAAAATTCTAAAAATGGAAAAATGGAAATGTCAAAAAATTAAGAAATCGGAAAAATAAAAAAAATCAAAAATTGAAAAAAAAATTAAACTGCAACCGTTTTTCCGGAATCGACCGTCGAAATATTGAGATTTTTAGAAATTCTCAAAAATTCGCATTTCGTAGCGATTCTTTCGAAAATGACCGTCAAAACCCTATATTTTTGGAATCAGCACGTCGAGATCTACGTCCCTAAATTTTTTCAGAATTATTAGACAACTTTTTGAAAAGTGAAATTTTTCCAACCTTCTACACATTTCGGTCAAATTTTGACATTTTCGAAACTCAGCTAAACACATTTTCTTGTAAAGTTCGAGCTCTAAAACTCAATTCCGGCTTCGTTTCTTTGATAACTGCAAACGTTTTTCCGGAATCGGCTTAAAAATCGGAAAACTGAAAAGTCGAAAAAAACTAAAGATTGAAAAATGTAGATTTTAAAAATTCGAAAAACCGAGAAATTTGGAAATCGAAAAATTGAAAAATTGGGAAATTGAAAAATCGACAAATCGAAACATACAAATTTTAAAAAATAGAAGCAGCGCAAAAGCGAAAAATTGGAAAATTAAAAATTAAAACTGTTGAAAAATTGTAAATTTAAAAAATCGAAAAAACGAATCAGATTAAAAACTTGAAGAATCGGAAAATGTCAAAAAATTATGAAACCGGGAAATGAGAAAAAATCAAAATTGAAACATTGAAAAATCGGAAATCAAAAATTTTAAAAATCGAAGAATGAAAAACCAAGAAATCGAAAATTCGAAACGTCGAAATTGAAAAATCATAAAGTTAAAAAATCGAAAAATTAAAGAACCGCAAAATTGAAATATCGGAAAATTGAAAAATAGATAAGTCGAAAAAACCGACAAATATAAGTAAGAAAAATCGCGAGAACAAAAAACAAAAATAAAAAAAATTCAAAGTTTGATTTTTCATCCAAATATCCGGATGTTAACAGTTTAAATAACATATTATTAGTTTTGTAAAATTTGGACATGACGTCATCTCATACGATATTCCTAAAAATTTTCAAAATTCGACAACATTCGATCTGGTAATTTAGAGAGATAGACGGAAACGAGAAACTTAATTTTTTGAGCTTTAAGGGTCACGAAGCATAAAAAAAACAGAAGAATAGTAATTACCGTGAAGACCTCGAATTGAAGCTTATAATGACAATTGACCTGTATAAGGTGTTGCCTAATCTTGACCTATTCACAGCATAGACACAGCATAGATATCAATCAGTAGAGACAGCTCGTGTCGGCGCCTTTGTTCTTTCTGACCCGAATTTTAAGCCGTCATGGGTGGTCGTTGCCTAAACTATTCCTAGATGTCGCCACCCAATTTAAAAAGTATCACTTCATTTACAATTTCAAAAATTGATTCGTGTACGCAATATTGCAAACTGTGTAGTTTGCTCAAATCGTATAATCGTGAATCGCAATAAGAAAAAAAAGTCGGTATTTAAATTATAAACACGATGATTTGTTACAGTTTTTATTTTATTACTTATACAATTTGACAATTCGCACATTCTTTCCCTGAATACTTGAGGTTTAATTATCATTGTAAAAATAATGTAATAAATACATCTAAAAAGAAAGAGGTTTATTTAAGAAAAAATAAATAAATAAAAATTAAATTACAAAAAGGAAAAAAGTTAATGCTGCCAAATTATTTTTTTTCTATTAATTTTTTTACCTTTGGCATTTGTAAATTTAAAGCTAGCATTTACAAATCCGGAAATGGTACACTTTGTAATGGACCGTAGGTAAAGGAGTATTTTATGAGGACTAAATATTTTTCGAGAATAGACTCTTTTAGTTATTAAAGAAAGTATCCATCTTATTTATATATATAGAAAACTAAAAAAAAAGTAGAGATATAAACAGACAGGCATGATAATGTAATTATGGTAATTACTTTATACAAGAATATATATAAAAATAAGAACAGCACCTGTTAAATTGTTTAATAATTTCAAAAATTTTACGAAAAAAACGCATTTTACCTAACAACTTAACCCGTAAGCGTAATATCATATAAAGTAAAATTTTTATTAAAAAAAATTATTACAAAAAAAATGTTAATATTTTTTAGATTTGGTTATACAGAGTGTCTCAAAAAAGTTAATGACTGATTCAATTTATTTTATTGAAGAAATCAAGAATAGCAAAACTGAATACTTTGAAATATTGCAGATGTTTTGAAGTTTTTGTAAGCATGGTAACTTTTTCGAAAATTTGATTAATCAAATATGCGCAAAATCAAAAATCGGAAAAACTGAAATTCACAAATGCAAAAAACAGAAAATCGAAAAATACAAATCGTAAAAATCGAAAATCTAAAAATGGCTAATCAAAAAATCGAAAATTCAATGAAATCAAATACCTAGGTCGATCGAAAAGTGGAAATTCACAAACCTCAAAAATCGAAAAATCGAAAATTGAAAAACGGGAAAACCAAAAAATTGAAAAGTGGAAAATCGAAAATCTGAATAAAGAAACTTGGAAATTCTGAAAATTGGAAAATCGAAAACCAAAAAATCGGAAAGTAACAAAATTGAAGTCTAACAGTTGAGAATGGAAAAATTGAAAAACCGAAAATTCTAAAAATCGACAATGGACAAATTGAAAATCGCAAAATTTAAATTGAAAAATTGAACATGGAAAAATCGATGAATTGAATTCGACTACTCAAATTTTCTAAAAATCATAAAACTGAAAAATCCAAAATTCTAATCATCGAAAGTCTGAAAACTGAAAATCGAAAATTCTGAACAGCGGAAAATAGAATATCTAAAAATTTAAAAGAAAGAAAATTGAAGTCTAAAAACCGAAGAATGGAAAAATTAAAAATCAAAAATTCGAAAAATTCAAAGATTTAAAGAGAAAATCGAAAAATCAAAAATCTGAAAATTGAAACTCGAAAATTTGGAAAATCGAAAAGTAAAAAATTGAAGTCTGAAAAATGGAAAACTGAACAATCGAAAATTCGAAAATCAAATATCGAAAAATCGAAAAGCCGAAAAATCGAAAATTTTATAAATCAGATATGCGAGAAACAGAAAATCTGAAAATACAAAACTGGAAAATCAAAAATCTAAAAATGGAAAAACCGAAAATCGAAAATTCAATGAATCTAAAATCGAAAATTTGCAAGATTGAAAAACCGAGAATTGAAAAATCAAAAAACCGAAAAATGGAAAAATCAAAAATCGAAAAATAGGAAAACCGAAAATTCTAAAATTCATAATATTGAAAACTCTAAAAGTCGACAATTCAAAAATCAAAAAACTGGAAAAAAATAATCGAAAAATCGAAAAGTAAACAAATTGCAAAGCCTAAAATCTGACGAACAGAAAAATCGAAAAATCGTAAAATCAAAAAGTGGAAAATCGAAAACTGGAAATTGAAAAATCGAAGATTGGAAAATGGAAAAATCGAAAATCGGAATATCGAGAATCGACAAATTAAAAAACCTAAAAATCGAAAAATTAAAAAATCGGAAATCGAAAAATTAAAAAAAAACGAAAATTCAAAATTCCAATAATCCGAAACTAAAATAATAGAAAAGTGGAAAAGTAAAAATTGCAAAGTCTCAAAACTGACGAACAGAACAATCGAAAAATAAAAAAAATCGAAAAATATCTATACATGGAAAATCGAAAAATCGAAAATCGGAAAATGGAAAAACCGAAAAATCGAAAATTCGATGAAACAAATACTCGAAAAAGCGAAAAGTAATAAAATTGCAAGGCCTAAAAATTGAAAAATCAAAAAATCGAAAAAACGACGATCGAAAAAAAATCAAAAAATCGAAAAGTGGAAAATCGGAAAGTAACAAAACTGAAATCTAAAAGCTGCAAATTGCAGAACCATAAAAACCGAAACAAACAGAAAAATCGAAAAACCACAAAAGCGGAAAAACGAAAATCGAAAAATCGCAAATTGAAAAATCGTAAAATCAGAAAATGGAAAATCGAATAATCGAAAGTTGAAAAAACGAAGGTCGAAAAATAAAACAACCGAAAAATCGAAAAATTTTATGATTAATGGAAAATCGAAAAATCGAGAATAGAATAATTAAAAAACCGGAAAATTGAAAAATCGGAAATCGAAGGAAATCGAAGAATTTAAAACGTAAAATCGAGAATTCAAAAATGCAAAAAAATTGCAAAGTCTAAAAACTGACGAACAGAAAAATCAAAAAATCTAAAAATGGAAAGACGAAAAGTCGAAAATTGAAAGAATGGCAAATTAAAAAATCGAAACATCGAAAAATCAAAAAAAACAAAAATTAAAAAATCGAAAAACGAAAAAACTGAAAACTCGAAAAATCAAAATACCGCAAATTTGAAAAATCAGAAAATTAGAAAGTAATAAAATCGAAAAGTTGATAGAAAAATGGAAACTGAAAAATCTAATTCGATGAAACTGTTGGTCGAAAAAACGAAAAATCGAAGTGACCTTTTTTTGACACAGGCTGTATAAGCAAATCTAAAAAATATTACTGCAATGATAAATCACAATATAGACTCATCATATCAAATATGATTACAATAACGGATTCATAATCCTTTTCTAATTTAAATTTAAATACATCAAGAACAAAATTATTGAATCGTATTTAATTTAATAATATTAATACATTTTTTTCATTCGCCACAATAATAAATACACTAATTTATACCTCGAACTGTCAAAGTATATAATATTTTTTCATCTAGACTTATTCAATATCACTGGTAAAGTAAATCAGCATAACCTCAATTCTGAATTAGTGTATGGAATTGGAACACACAATACCCAAAAGTTCTCACGTCTGCAACGTTACACAAGCAATTTAATTGATCGGTAATTCTTTCATCTCAAAACATGGAAATTTAGTTTTTCGTGGTGAAGATGTTGTCACATAACCTCAAAAGTTTGACGTTTCATTTATGCAACACACAATACACACCCCAATTATTGCAAAAATTTTATTAACAATATTGGAAAGTACACTTGACGCTTTAGTCCTCCAAATGCCGCGCTTTTATGTGTTTCTTTAAAGATGGGCGCGTTTTGGTTTTGTATTGACATTTTTCACAATTGTACCATTTGACGTCATTTCCATTCATGTGCCACGCATCCACGTGTCTCTGTAAATTCGTCTTCTGTACCGCTTTAAATGGACACTCCTTGCACTGATAACCCTTCACGCTATTCCCAACCAAATGCTGGGTTAACACATGCCTCCTCAAGTTCGAACAATCTCTACTCTTGTACGGGCACTGTTGACATTCGTACCACTTGCCAACCGTTTCGTCCGAATGACAAACATTCACGTGTCTCGTCAAATACGTGTTGCATTTACATCTAAACGAGCACTGTTTACATTCATACCACTTGGCGTCTTGGTCGTCCAGATGCCGTGCGTTAATGTGTCTTTTCAAACTGCCTTTATCTTTGCTCTTGAAAGCACACAAAGTGCAGTGGTGCCACTCGATTTCGTCCTCGTCCAAATGCCGCGCGTTTATGTGCGAATTTAAACATTGCCGGGATTTCGTTTTGTATTCGCATTGTTCACAGTTGTACCATTTGATGTCGCGTTGGTTCAAATGTATCGCATTCGCCAGATGTCTCTGTAAAACCCCCTCGTATTTTGTTTTAAACGGACACTCCGGGCACTGATGCCACGTAATTCTTTTTCCTTTCAAATGCTGGGTTATCACGTGCCTTTTTAAATTGGAAGTATCTCTAGTCTTGTACGGGCACTGCTGGCATTCGTACCATTTGCCGTCCTCTTTGTCCGAATAACAAACCAAGAGGTGTCGTGTCAAAGATTGGTTGTGTTTTGATCGGAATGAGCACTGTTTGCAATAGTACCATTTGGCGTCAAGGTCGTCCACATGTCGTGCGTTAATGTGCCCTTTCAAACTGGCCTTGTCTTTGCTCCTGAAGGAACACTCACTGCAGTGGTGCCACTTGATTTTGTCCTCAGCCAAGTGCCGCTTTCGTATGTGTCTACTTAAATATTTGCGATTTTTGTTTTGGTAGTCGCATTTTTCACACTTGTACAACTTGATGTCTTTTTCTTCGTGATGCACCTGAATGTGCCGTTTCGAATTTGGTTGGTCTTTACTTTGTTGACACTCTTTCATGTGACGTAACCATTTAAGCGAAAAATGTGTCTCAAATCCGCACTTTCCACAAACGTACTTTTGATTATTGTGTTGTACAATTAAATCGTTGTTTTCTTGTTTGATTCCATGACGGTCTTTAATGTGTCGCTTCAAAAGCAACGTTAGTTCGGTTTGAAAATTGCAGTCTTTGCAATGATAAGAATCAAGGGGGTTTTTACAGTTGAAATATGGCAAGGGCGACTGATGAAAGCCAATGTGGTTCATCATCAGAAAAAACGATGTTGTAACGAATGGGCGAATTTTACAAAGGTGAACTTTTACCAGGGAAGACTTCCTGTGTGTCTTGTAAGCTGCGGAATATTTCAAAGTTTCCGTCTTTACTAGTCTGAAATTCATGCAGCATTGTTACGTTAAAAGTTTATTATAAAAACGAATCTTGTGTTACGTACCTGCAAATTAAATTAAAAACAATTCAAAATGTTTTCGACATAACCTCATAACGTTGGTACTTTTAGGGGTTTCATGTTGGTATTAAATTCGCTAAATAGCTTCAGAGTATGCAACATGTAATACACGTACCTGTCATTTACATTTATGCGTTCGAATCAAGATCATTCAGCAGATAAGTAATTTAATGTTTTTTTAAGTTTCGTGACCCTTAGAGATTGAAAAATTATGTCTCTTGTTTCCGTCCGTAAGCCCCGCCCACCCGTCCTATCTCAATTCTGATGATTTTTTTTTCGTCGTAAGCCGAAGGACGGAGCTTAATTGTAAAATTTTTATTTTTCTACGAGAAATTACCATGTGAAATATATTCTTAAGTAATCGTGTTATGCAAAGAAAACTAAATGTATTAATTAAAAAAGAAAACCAAAAGAGAAACTCCACCCATCCGTCTCGATCTCAATCGTGATGAATTTTTCATTCGTTATCAGATCGAGAGGCGGAGCTTAATTGAAGATCATATTTGTCTACAAAAATTTACCATTTTAAACATGTTTTAAGTTTCTTGTTCCGAAAAGGCGACTACGTGTTACTAAGAGAAAAAGGCAAAATATAAGCCCCGCCCACCCACCCCATCTCAATTCTGATGATTTTTTTTTATTCGTCGTAAGCCGAGGGGCGGGGCTGAATTGCAAAATCGATATTTCCCTACACAAATTTACCATTTTAAATATGTTTTAAGTTGCTTGAGGTGAAAAGAAAGAAAACAATTTGGTTTTTCGGTGTTTCGATTTTTTTTAAATTTTAAGTTTTTCAGGTAAATTTTATCCCCAACATTTCACTAGAAATTTACCCTTTTAAACATGTTTTCAATTTATTGTCGTGAAAAGAAAACTATGTACACATATTAGAAAAAAGAAGGCATAATATGTATAAGTTGCTAATTTTTAACAACAAGCAAGTTAAAACATGTTTAAAATGGTAAATTTGTATAGGGAAATATCGATTTTGGAATTATTAGATAGGGTGGGTGGGTGGGCGGAGCTTATATTTTGTCTTTTTTTTCTGAGTATACATAACCATCTTTTCACAACTTACTGGGATTTCAATGTTTTAATTTTTTGATTGTTCAATTTCTCGATTTTTTGAATATTTAGTTTTTGATACGATTTTCTTTTTAAATTTTCAGTTTTTCAATTGATTAACTTTACCATACTTCAGTTTTGCTCGATTTCGATTTCTCAATTTTTCGACATATTCAATTGGGATTTTTCAATTTATCGATTCTTCGATTTCTCGATTCTTCATATTTTCGGTTTCTCGAATTTCTTCATTTTTCGATTTCTCAATTTTCCGATGTTTCAGTTTTACGATTTTTAATTTTTTTTATTTTTCAGTTTCCAATTTTTGACGTTTCTGAATTTTTCGATTTCTCAATTTTTCGATTAACTGATTTTTTGATTTTCGCATTTCTCTATTTCTCGATTTGTCAATTCTTTCTTCAGTTGTGATTTTTCAAATTTTCGATTTCTGAATTTTTCAATGTTTCAGTTTTGGATTTTTTCACTTTTCCGATTCTTCAATTTTCTTTCCATTTTTCAGTTTTTCAAGATTTCAGTTTCGAATTTTTTCACTTTTTCGATTTTTCAATTTTCCTTCCATTTTTCAGATTTTCAGTATTTCAGTTCTCGGATTTTGCAATGTTTCGGTTCTTCAATTTTTCCATTTTTTGATGTTTCGATTTCTCGGTTTTTCAATTTTTCGATAGGTATTTTAATTTTTCAATTTTTAAGTTCTAGATTTTCCGTTAATTTTTTTGGTTTCCTTGAAGTTTTGATTTGTTGATTATTCGATTTTTCAAGTTCTCGGTTTTCCAATTCTTCGATTTTTAAATTATTTAATTTTTAGATCGTTCAATTTCTCGATTTTTAGATTTTTCAATTTTTCGGTTTACCGATTTTTTTTCATTTATAATGTTTCAATTTTTGAATTATTAAGTTTTCGATTTTTCAATTTTGGTCTAATTTGATTTCTTAATTTTTTGATTTTTTGACTCCTCTACTGTTGATGTTTTGATTTCTCAATGTTTCAGTTTTTGAACATTCCGATGTTTCGATTTTTCGACTTTTTGGCTTTTCGAGTGTTCAATTTTTTGATTTTTGAATTTTAGATTTTTGTTTTTTTGATTTTTTTTGGTGTTTCGATTTCCCAATTCTTCAATTTTTCGATATTATAATTTTTCAATTTTTCGAATTTTTTAATTTTTGATTTTTCTTTTCTTTTCTTTTATTTCTCAATTTTTGGAGTTTTTAAATTTTACATTTTTTAATTTTACTATTTTTTGATGCTTGGATTTCTCAATTTTTCGAGTTTTCAATACTCATTTTTTAAGGATTTGAATATTGAGAACTTTTCAATTTCTGGATGTTCAATTTTTGAGATATTTTAATATTTTGGTTTTTTAATATTTCAATTTTTGGGTGTTTTGATTTTTCGATTTTTAAAGTTTTTGATCTTTTCACAACAATAAACTTAAAACATTGTCAAAATGGTACATTTTGCAAGGAAATATTCATTTTGCAATTATGGGGTGCACCAGATGGAAACACTATTTGAAAATCTAGAAAATAAGAAAAAAATTGCATGCCTTGGGTAAAACTTCAACACGGATTCATAAACCACGAGCAGAGAAGTATGTCATTTTATACAATTTAATAGCTATTTATGGTATAAGTGAATAAAAGTGAATTTTATCCAACGAAAAAACAGTTTAGCACACGAGGCGAAGCCGAGAGATTATATAAACATTTTATTCATCCTTACGATTAAACTATTGTTTTAATAGCGAGATTTAACATACGAAATGATCATTTTATTAGTAGAAATTGGAAAAATGACATTTACTATTGTAAAATTTGGACATGACGTCATCTCATACGACATTCCTAATAAATATGCCTGGATCACGAAATATAAAAACATGAAAATAGTCATTTACCCGATGGACTCCATTCGAACCTACAAATACAAACTTGTATAACGTGTTGCATAATCTTGGTCTGTTTAACGTGTTTACTACCAACATAAAACAACTAAAGTAAAAGTATCAACATTTTTAGGTTATGTCGAAAACAATTTGTAAGATTTGCAATTTAATTTACAGGTACGTTACACAAGATTCGTTTTTATAACAAACTTTTGACGTAACAATACTGCATGAATTTCAGACTGGTTGAAACGGAAAATTTGAAAAGAAGTCTTCCCTGGTAAAAGTCCACGACTGTAAAATTTGCCCAAACGTTACAACGTCGTTTTTTCCGATGATGAACCACACTCGCCGCCATCAGTCTCCCTTGGCATCTTTTAACTGTGAAAACCCCCTTGATTCTTACCATTGCAAACACTGCAATTTTCAAACCGAACTAACCTTGCTTCTCAAGCAACACATTAAAGAACATCATGGAATTAAAGACGAAAACGACGATTTAATTCTACAATACAATAATCAAAAGTACGTTTGTGAAAAGTGCGGCTTTGAGACGCATTTTTCGCTTAAATGGTTATGTCACATGCTAGAGTGTCAACAAAATCGATATAAAACGAAAGAACAACCAAATTCGAAGCAGCAGCTGGTTGAGGACAAAAGCAGGTGGTTTCATTGCGCTGAGTGTACCTTCAAGTGTAGACAAAAAAACGGTTTGGAAAGGCACATTAACGCACGACATATAGACGACCTTGTCGCGAAATGGTACAAATGTGAACAGTGCTCATTTCGATCTAAATACAGGCAATCTTTGAGACGACACGTGATTGTTTGCAAATGGTACGAATGCCAACAGTGTCCTTACAAGACTAGAGATAGTTCGAACTTGAAAACGCACGTGATAATCTATCATTCGAATGAAAAATATATCACGTGGTATAAGTGCAAGGAGTGTCCGTTTAAAACAACATATGAGAGGGTTTTACAGAAACACGTGGATGCACAGCATTTGAACCGACGCTACATTAAACAGCACAATTGTGAAAAATGTGAATACAAAACCACGTCCCGGTATAAATTAAAGGAACATATAAATCGGCGGCATTTGGCCGAGGACGAAATAGAGTGGCACCCCTGCACTCAGTGTCGTTACAAGGCTAAAAGCAAAGGCAATCTGAAAAGACACATCAACACACGGCATTTGGACGAAAAGGACGGCAAGTGGTACAAATGTCAACAGTGTCCTTACAAGGCTAGAGATTGTTCGACCCTAACCAAGCACGTGAAATCTGCGCATTCGGACGAAGGCGAAATAGAGTGGCACCCCTGCACTCAGTGTCATTTCAAGTCCAAAACCAAAGACGGGTTGAAAGGTCACATTAACACACGGCATCTGGTCGACCAAGACGCGAAGTGGTACGCATGCAAACACTGCTCACGTAAATATAGTTACAAGAGGTCCTTGACGAAACACATAAACATTTGTCATGGGGACGAAAAGGACTGCAAGTGGTACAAATGTAAGCAGTGCTCGTACAAGAACAGAGACCATTCGAACTTAAAGAGTCACGTGATAAGCCAGCATTTGGATCAGTATCACATCAGATGGTATAATTGTGACGAGTGCGAATTCAAAACCAAATACACCGCGTCTTTAAAGGATCATATAAATCGTTGGCATTTGGACAAGAGTGAAATCAACTGGCACCGCTGCAGTGAGTGTCCATTCAGGAGCAAAAGCAAAGACGGTTTGAAAAAACACGTTAACGCACGGCATCTGGACGATCAGGACGCGAAGTGGTACGAATGCAAACATTGTCCACACAAAACCAAGCATAGTTCGAATTTAATTTTTCACATGAAAACGCAGCACCTGAATAAACAGGAGCCAGAATGGTACGAATGCACTCATTGTCCACACAAAACTAAGCATCGTTCGAATTTGAAGTTGCACATAGAAAAGCAGCACGTGAAAGCGGAAAGTGACCATCTAATAGCAGACGAAAAGCGAGTTTGAAGTAACATGGGAAGTTTAAACAAAGCGTGTAGTCGTGGTGAATATTCATTTAGACTTGTAAGACATTTTTTATTCCATTAATACA